AAAGAGCCAGAATAACCAGCATAGCCTAGGAGGACAAAATCAGAGGACTGACACTACCTGACTTCAAGACTTACTATAAAGCTACAGTAATCAAGACAGTGTGGTATTGGCAAAAGAATAGACAAGTAGATCAATGGAACAGAATAGAGAACCCAGAAATAGACCCACATAAATATAGCTAACTGAGTTTTGACAAGGAAGCAAAGGCCATACAATGGAGAAACAATAGTCTTTTCTACAAATGGTGCTGGAACAACCGGACAGCCACATGGAAAAAAAAAAAGGGAAATGAGAAACTCTCTTGAAAGGTTACCGTGAAGTCCACCTGTGACAGGAACAAAAAGTACCCAGCAGAGTCTCTGACACTTAGTAAGCTCTCACATTAATGTAATGGGTGGACTTCAATATTTCTAAATCCTCGTCTCCACAAGAGTTTCACATGAAGGGTACAATGATTCATGTCAGTCACCCAAGTCCTGCCAATCCACTAGGCAGGACACAATATTGAAGGTGCCATCAGCACACTAGCCTCAGGGAGCCCTGCAGCCCCTTGACCTGTGGATGATGCTTCCCGTAATCCTCTGCTTGCCTTTGGCTGAAGACAGGCCCCTCCTGCAGAGACCAGGCCAGAACTCTCATCTGATTAAGACTCTATTAGACATAAATAAAGCCTTTCATCATAAAGAAAAAAAGACTCTATTAGACAATCAGGAATAAATATACACAGCAACATCAAACTAGGTGATCCGTTTACATATATTTATCTTCATTCCTTCATTTCCGCGATTGTGAGATCCATAGCTAATCCAATAGATTTGAATTTACCCAAATACCAGCCCTTTCTTGAGTTCTCATAGATGAACAAAGCCAAAATCCAGACTTTATTTTAACTTATGGCTTAGCACTACCTACTGTGAATTATTGGAGGTTAATCGGTTTTGGAGTTCATAACCTAAAGTAGAAACTCAGATGGTTGAAACTCAGATAGTTTTCAGGAACGATACTTTGTTCTTAGTACATCATTTAGATTCTCTTTCAGAAGTTTCATTTGTTTTCTTTTTTTGTTTGTTTTTTTGTGAGGAAGATTAGCCCTGAGCTAACATCCGATGCCAATCTTCCTCTTTTCACTGACATCCATGCTAACATCCATGCTCATCTTCCTCTACTTTTTATGTGGGACGCTGCCACAGCATGGCTTGACAAGCGGTGTATCGGTGCATGCCTGGGATCAGAACCTGCGAACCCCGGGCTGCCAAAGCAGAGAGTGCGCACTTAACTGCTCTGCCACCGGGCCGGCCCCTCATTTGTTTTCTTAATAGCTGCCAATCTTGCTTTTAATTTATAAATATGGTTGGTTTAGCTTCAATGTTAGTTGCTTGTGGGTTGTTTAACTCTATGCTGGATAGTTTCACTTATCTTTAACAACAGTAGTTTACATAAGTAGCTTAACAACTCTCATATTCCAACCATTAAGACTTTAAGTGGTGCAAACATTGCAATTCAAATATGAATCATGCATAAGCTTATCACTAAAAGACATGAGGGAAAGCTTCTCTTCCTCAAAATCTTATAGTTCTTGGTTCTTTTTCCTCTGAAGAGTAGGAACATGTCAGCTAATGAGGAACGTCCTTGGCCTCATCTAAAGGTGCTTCAGCCCCCCAAGTTTGAGAACCACTGAGCTCTAGGAAGGTCTTCCTCCGTGGTTCCTGGACCCCTACACCATGGCAGAGGCCATTTTCCCTTTGAATTCAGCGTGATGTCCCAAAGATAGTGAGCTGGTTAGCAGCTGTCTGCTCTCCCACAATCTTGCCTTCTGAGGCATGTCTTTCTGTCTGAAGACCTAACTTTTCCCAGATGATCAAAACTGGGACCATCCACCCCCTTCTGAGCCACCTCTGCCCATAGGGGTGTGGCTGTGCCCTCCAGCCACAACAGGACAACATTGCAGAACACACTGCAGGAAGCCCAACATGTATGCACAAGGCCCACATACGCACAGTGTGTGGACAGGGCTTTTGTTCTAGTGCAGATTTGAACGGAGGGCTCACTAGTTCAACAGAGCTTGAAACCTGCACCTGTGTTATGCTCTGTCAGGAGCCGAGGGTACAAGCGATACAACAGTGCCCAGACCTACCAGAGAAGGCAAACCTTGCAATGCACAACAGGGACAGGAGAAAAGAGTCATCCTGGGCCAACAAGAAGAAACAAGGGAAGTAAAGCGGAAATCAATACTTGAGCCAGGTCAATGGCTATGAGCTTTCAAGTCAGGGTGACCTGGGCCTGAATCCTCCAGGCTTTTCCACCAACCAGCTGTGGAGCCTTGGGCACATCTGGCCCAGAGGAGGCTCCAACAGATACTTGCTGAATGAAACCCTCTGAGCCAGTTTCCTCATGTGCAAACTAGCAGTCATTCCTACCTTGCAGAATTAAGAGGAATAAGTGAGAAAAGACATAGTGCTAAGTAAAAGAGACACAAGACACGTGGTACACTGGGCACCAGTGTTCTAATGCAAGTTCTGCCTCTGGCAGGAACATTTTCACGTCAGGAACAGGACAAGTTCCTGGACGCTGTCTGGGGCCTGGTTGGGAGGGACGTGGAGTCAGCAGAACGGGGCGGGGGCAGGGCCAGGCACTGAAGTGAGACCAAGGCCCAGAGGGAGCCAGTCCCTGGTGGCAGTTGGGCGGCTCAGACAGCTCCCTGCCTCACCTGCCACGGGCCTCCCTGTGTCCTGGCTCTCCCGATGCTGCTGTCCCCTCCGTCTCCCTTCCTGGCCCCTGGCACCCCAGGGCTCCTGGAGGTGCTGCTCTCAGAGCCACAAGGCAAGTATGAAAGAGCAGACCAGCTCCACAGGCAGTGGGAAGATGAGGTCACCCCCCAGAGTAAATAGCACCAAGGGTGGGGGTGGACGGTGTGAGGGAGGATTTGTACTGTGGGGGGAGATACCCTCAATCTCATCCTGCACCACAGGCCTGCAGATACCACCCCCCACCCCTGGAGCTTGTCTCCTAGTTCCAGTTCTCAGCTCCCCAGCACCTTTCCCACCCCCACCCCACTCTGGAGCTCACGGCTTCCCCTCTCCACATCCCTCCCTCCCTGCACAGTCCATGAAGAGTTTCCATCTAAGAGTTAATTGTTTCTTAGGGTATAGGGACAGCCAGTCTTCTCCTTCCCATAAGCCCATATCCTTGTACAAGGCCAGTTATAGCCCCCGGTTCAGTGATCTCTGTCCCCCAGAGGCCTATACCTAAGACAGGAAGCTACCTTGGCTGTGCGGTACAGAAGACCTTAAATGGAGTCGATAAATGAGAGAGGCATAATTCCTGACTTCCAGCAAGCCTCAGCCCCCTGCCCTGGCTGACCCTCCCTCCCCAATGCCCCCCTCACCCAGGGTCCCCAGCCCACCCCACAGCTGAGCTGGCCCTGAGGAGCGGCTGGAGCAGCAGCAGGAGCTGTACCAGGCCCTACTGGAAGGGCAAGAAGGGGCCTGGGAAGCCCAGGCCCTGGTGCTCAAGATCCGGAAGCTGAAGGAACAGATGAGGAGACACGGAGAGAGCCAGAAAGGAGACACCTAAGCTTTCCACCAGTTCCCACTTCACCCTCCAGCACTGGAAATACTGCCCACCACTCCCCTGAGCCCTTCCATCAGAAAGATCCCAGCCTCTCTCAGGCCACTAAGAAAAACGGAAGACACCTCCACAAAGCTCCAGAAATTGGAAAGTAGTGGGGAGCCAGGGCCTCTGTAGTCTTTGTAGTCACATCCCCCACTTTGACCCCTCCTGCTGACCTCTGCCCCACAGCAGTCCTTACAGGAATATGCCCTTTTTCATGCACTAAAATAACCTCACCCCAAATCCAATAAAGGGACAGAGGGAATGCTTACAAACACCACAGACGCATGTGTTTTTCGGTTTTGTTTAATAAAATTCTGACAGGGGCCGGCCTGGTGGCGCAAGCAGTTAAGTGTGCATGCTCCGCTGTGGTGGCCCAGGGTTCGCTGATTCGGATCCCGGGTGCACACCAACGCACTGCTTGGCAAGCCGTGCTGTGGCGGCGTCTCATATAAAGTGGAGGAAGATGGGCACGGATATTAGCCCAGGGCCAGTCTTCCTCAGCCTCAAAAAAAAAAAAAAACAGGAGGATGGGCAGATGTTAGCACAGGGCTGATCTCCTCACAAAAAAAGAAAAAATTATGACAAATCAGGAAATGAGGGTTTAGAAGTGGTGGTGATGCGAAAGAGGGAAGCCATGGGGTGGGGGTTGGGGGTGTCAGGGTTAGGTGGCAGTAGTGTATCCTTCACCCACATGCCTGGTGTCATCACCTAAAGAGGGACAGCTGTCACATTCCAGAATGGGCGGGTAAGTCCTCTACCGTGTCTGTTCAACTGAAGAGGAAACATGTTACAGTTAAAGTAAGACATGGGAAAGAAAAAGCGAGGTTGGCAGAAACACACATGCACATACATGTGGATGTTTGTGTGGTGTGTGGGTTCAGAGGAAAGACTTGGGGAAGGGGAAAAAACAATTTGACAAGAGAAGAAAGAGACCCCATATAGAGGTCAACTAAACATCCCAACAGGGCATCAAGACCAAGAGGGCATGAGCTTGTCAAGTGTCAATTATGCAGCCAAGTCTTTATGTACATAACAGGACTTATAACAAACACACTAAAGAGCAAGGGGAACCTAAAGAGTTGGAGAGCCAGTTTCAATACTCACTGTAGGAGGTGAGGTGATGTCTGTTTCATCAGGCAGCTCACTAATATTGACCTCAAAGAGATCCTGCACATCATGGAGGATCTTGGCATAATTCTCAAATCTGATACAAATGTGATGGCCAAACTTTTGGTGCCAAACTGGCCTGCCGGCCACCTGGAAGGAGACGGAATATGGAACTGGAGGACTCCAAATAGGGAAGACACCCAAAAGGAGGGATGAAGATGTAAAGCATGAAAAGATACAGAAAATAAGGCGGTGGGAGAGGACACTGGGATGTCCTTCTGGGTGTGGGGCTTACCCGATGCAGGTAGGTGTCAGAATCTTCAGGTATGTCATAGTTAAAGGCAATGTTCTCCCGTTCAATGCCCTTGCTTCGGCCAAGTAGGTTGGTTGCCACAAGAATTCATCACTGAAAATCTTTAAACTGCTGATACCGAGAAAGCCTTCATGAGAAAGGAAATTAGAAAAATGTTGAGAATCCCTTCTCTCAGTGGCCTGTTTTCCTCCTAAGGACACAAAACATCTTCCCCAATTCACCTCTGCTCCTGGGGCATCCCACGGTGGATGGCAATGGCTGGGAAGTTCTGCTCCACGAGGAGCTGGGCCAGGGCGATGCAACGCTGCACAGACTTCACAAAAATCACCACCAGTGTGTGTGTGTGTGTGTGAGAAGGGGGATGTGGGTCCATTCGGGTCTGTGTGAGAGAGAGGATTTGCAAGAGAGTTTTCAGGGATTACACTCCTCTAAAGGAATTCCTCTTAGTCCCCCTCACATGTTTCCTCTTCTGTTCTAAATATAATCACAGCCTCCCTCTCGGCTTTCATTTTTCCTGAGCAGACATGTCACAGAGAAGATATTCCCACACGATTTTGTATTTAATTTTCAGGCAGTTATGAGACCCCTGATACCAAGGGTCTGTGGTTCCTGTCTATATTTTCTTTCAGAGAATGAAAAAGGGATTCCTGGGGACGGCAACTCTCCAGGTATCTCCTTCCTGGCCCTCCCTCTCAATGCGGATCCTATTTCCTGTTACCGATGATGACACAGTTTTGTAAATCCCCTCTCCCCGCCCCATCAGAGGCTGGGCTCCAGTCCTGGCCCACATGGAACCCATGGAGGAGAGGAGGCAACAGTGACCCAGCTGAACTGAGACGAGGAGGAGTCTGGAGGCATTTTGTCCCTGCAGTTTCACTTCAAAATATCCATCTTCACATGTGGTTGGGTTTGAAATTGTAACTAGGATCTCTTGATTCTTCAAAATCTGCGATGCCCCCACTGGGTCTGGGTGACCTTCGTACTTGTTTTGTAAACTCTGTACCGAGGAAATTTTCAACACACACAAAAGTAGAGAGAATGTGCAGTGAACCCCCTGACCCTTCACTCAGCACAGCCTCAATCATGCCCCATCGGGATTTATCTGTACCCCAACCATCACCCACACTGCGTTATTCTGAAGTAAACCCCAGACAGTATATTATTTCATCTGTTAGTAATTTTTTTGAAGAGGCCAGTGTTTAGAGTCTTTAAAAATGACAGAGAGAGAGGGAGAGAAGCAGAGAGGAGAATGATGAAATTGACAAACTATTTTCCAATACAATTAAGAATGAGGATCCTCTGAGAACTCGAAGTGTCCTGCTTTATATTGAATGTTCAGCGTCTCTTAGACACTCAGCAAAAGAAATCAGTAGCTCAGAGCTGAGAAACCAAAGACACATATATTTAATTTCTTTTGTCTTTTTTCAGAGCCTTATTTGTCATCTCTGAATTATAACTGTACATTTCTATTCCCATCTTTGCAAAGGGAATCCTGAGCTGAGATGAAAATAAAATTCTCACCTTTGTTAATCTGTACCTGTGAGGCCCCCACCCTCTCCATAGACCTGACTTCCACGTGGATGGGATGGAGGGAAAGCAGGGCAAGAAAACAGAATGGCTAGTGCGCCATCTGCTGGGCATGTCCGTGGATAACAGGAACTGCGCACGAGATGCGGAGCCAAGAATAGTGTTTCCTGTGCTCTGTTTCTTTCAGGAAATTTCCCCAAGAGCAGACAGAGCAAGAGCGATGGACAAACACACGGAATCAGGACAAGGGGCGAGGTTTGGTCCTGTGCTTGCATTCCCACATTTCCAGTTCGTCATAATACCTGGACTAAAGTCCATCACAGTGGATACAACAGGATGGCAGAAATACAAGGCCTCATTCCCACTGGTGCAGCCGCCTGGAGAGCATCTGATCAGGTTTCTGAGAAGTTCCTTAAAGAGTGGCCTACAAGCACCAATTACCCTAGCTCAATTATTCCACCTTCAGTGAAAATTTAGCAACAGGAGATGATTTCCTACAAGAGACTTATTATCATAGAGAAACAGTGTTTTATCATCATAGAGTACACAGTGTTTTTATTCACTGGAGGATTACTTCAAGTAGTGGAGGGGTCACTTAGCAAGTCATGGGTGGTAGCATTGATGACCATATCTTCTCACTTTTGCACCAACCCTTTTTAAGACAATTTCCCACCTCTACATTAGATGTATCTTCTCCACACGCAGAAAATATAGTCTAGTAGCTTCTCTACTGGGTGGCAGATTGTTGGTTTTTCATGTTTTTTATTAGGGACACTGAATACTTTCATTCTTAACTGATACTAAGACTTCAGGATTTCTTCAGGGGAAGCTGCTGAAGGAGGCTGCTGAGTGGAGAGTATCCTCCCTGAATTCCCCCAGACAGTGTGGCTGACTGCCTCCCACAAGGACCTAAAAGGCAGCATATTCTGCTGTGTACCCAGAGGTGAGGACAGATCCTACCAGCCCCATCTCACAGCTGCCACATGGAATTTGGAGTCTGCAAATTATCTTAAATTTTCTTAAAGGACCTCATATATGGCTTCTTTATTGACTCGGGAAACCATAACAATGGATTTGGACAGATTTTCTCTGCAATTTCCTCTCTGGAGGGGAATACTCTGAAAACTGAGCTCATTTTCAGATATGAAAGAGATTGAAAAGTCAGGTTTTCTAGTTCTTGTAATGGGCACACAGGGATCCAGATACAGCATCTCCAGGACTAGGGAAGTAGAGACCTGTGTCTTTTGGCTGTGTGTGATACCTGGGGGCAGTGTTTAAGACCCTGAATTTTCCAAAGATGTTATTTACTCAGCAAATATTTCCACTTCTTGCAATAAAGTCGGGGGACATGGAAGCCACATTGCAACCAAGGGAACACAGATGAGAAGATGAAACGAGGTGATCTGGGAGGAATCAGAGAGGGCTCTTTCCCTGAGGGGTCCTTCTGTTTAGGGTTCTCATGAACAACCTGCTTGGGGTTATAGCCACACCCTTTTTAAACAAATCCTAACTGAGAAAATCATGAAAGGGCATTTAGCAAGTGGTTGACACAAGTAAATGCTGAAAGTCAGTGCTTGATTCAAAGACAGTGATCATTCCAGGATGACTGAGTCTCCCAGGTGTCAATAGGGAGGTGGGCCAGGGACTTTTCCCAGGGACCAAAAAGAAGAGCATCTGGGAGATAAGGTCATCTCACTATCAGGCACAGGACAGGGCCTGGTGTGAACAGATCACAGGTGTCTGTTCCTGTTCAGACTCCAATGCTCAGCATCCAGGGCAGAAAGTTTTAGAACTCAGCAAATCTATCAGCCAGCCAGATGAATGAGTGCAGGTGTGACTTGACAGGGAAAACCCTGTAACTTCTGTCAGGGCATAAATTTAAAATTGTTGATGTACTCACCTTGCAAAGATCGGTAGGTAGATGGATGGATGGGTGGATGGACGGACGAAGGAATGGATGGATGGGTATATTCACATTCTGTGTGAGTGTCTCTCTAGCTCTGTCTCTGTATGTCTCTCTGCCCTTTGTCTGTCTCTTTCTCTGTCCATATCTGCCACTGTCCCCTCATAATCATACCTTCACTTCCATAAGTAAGTGGAGTAAGTAAAAATCTTTTACCTGATTTTATAGGATCTCTTCTGTATATTGTATTAGTGGTAAGAACCACAGCGAAGGGAAAGAAATCTGTGAAAACCAGCGCAAGTGAAACAGATGCTTCTGACCAGGGGCAGTAAGAAGATGTGAGGCATTAAGCCCTCTGGGGGAGACCAGGGCCGTGCTTCGCCTGCAGAGTGGAACCTGCTCAAAGTAGACAGCGGGAAAGTGCCAGAGTAACTGTGCCCTTGCTGATTCAAAGGGAAGGTTCTTTCTCCAGATCCTTCTCTGTGTCCTTCAGTCTTGGCTCCCTAGATCCAAGTTACTGGTGTGCAAAAGGATTTGAGAATTTCCAGAGCAGCTTTTTGGTTTCCCTTCATTGGTCTTCCTACTCTTTCAAAAATACAGCCAGAGACATAAGAAATGAAATTTTACATGTTTCTTTCAGAATTTCCTAAAATCATTGAACTTTCTGTAAATGCCAGGGTTACATTTTTGGCAACCACATAAAGTCAGGTGAGCCCAACATGGAGTGAACTTAGGCCTTGAATGGCCTCCTTCTGTTTGGATTCTATGTGGACCATATTTGCAGGACAAATTCCAGAGCCAGATGCTGTTGCTCCACTATTGCTCTCATGTTTCAAGACAAGGAAGGCGAATCTGACTCCTGTGGAGTTCAGGGCTGCTCAGAAGGAATCTTCATCCCCACATGGATTCCTAGCCCCCAGGTCAGCCACCTCTATCTGCTCCACTCAGCCCACAGCCCTCATCTTCCCAGAACTGCTCATCAGTATCCAAGAGCATAGAGTGGCAGCGCCCCCCTGTGGCCACAGGGCTGAGGACAGAAGACCCAGCTCCTCTTTCTCCTCCTCAGCCAGGACCTCCCCAAAGTCTCCCTCTGTTGCCAGCCCTTGGACAGGGCTTTGCACACAGGTGGGTGTGCAGGTCACAGGTCTGGCTCAGAGTCCATTCAGCTTTCCAAAATCCAGGTTGATATTAACATTTCCCACTACCACTGAGTAACTGTATTTTGTCCTCAGGGCAGAGCCAACCCTCCAGACTATAACAGCCAGGATTCAAGGGTGGGATTGACCTACATCAAAACCCTTGCTACCCTAACACCCAGCCCCTCAGCTACCTGGGTGGGGCCTTGGACTCCTGGGTCCCTTCCCTTGTTCCTGCTGCTTCTTCTAGGGGTGGTGGCCGCTCATCCCAGGAATCAGCCTCTGAGGCTCCAACCATGAGATCTGGGGAGAGGAGCCCCTGAGGTGTCAGATCCAGGAAGGAGGGAGGCTCTGGAGAGGGGACGGGAGAAGAAATGGGACATAGTAGAATGAGAGAGGGGAGGAGAGAGGAAGGAGCCAGGGAGGAGAGACAAATGGGAAAGGTTAAGTAGGAAGGGGTGTGTGTGTGTGTGTGTGTGTGTGTGTGTGTGTGTAGGGATGGTGTGATAATGTGATATAATAAGAAATATGTTTGGTCTTCATCCTCAGTTCCTGGCACAGAACTCCTAAAACTCTTGTAATTTCCAGAGTAATAGGGGTAATAGGAGCATCCATTGTTATAATATTTGGTCTTAGTGCCTGATTCCTGACACAAGAGCTTCTAAGACCCTTGGGATCTCTGGAGTGATGAGTGTCCTTTGCTATACTAACGAGATGACTGGTGGCTGGGG